TTCTTTTCTTTTCTTTTCTTTTCTTTTCTTTTCTTTTCTTTTCTTTTAAGTAGGTTTCATGCTGGGCTTGGAGCTCAACATGGCGCTTGACTTAACAACCCTGGAAATGAAGACTTGAGCTGAGATCAAGAATCGGACGCTTAACCGACTGAGCCACCCAGGCACCCCAGTATTACTGGTTTCTTGTAAAATCTATTATAAAGAATAAAAATGAATAGCCAGATGAAGAGATACCTAGAGGGAGGTCTAGAAGGGTCCTGAGTACAAGAGCCTGTGTCTCTATGGAGATTGGGGTGCGCTATTCCCCCAGCACGTGGACGCATTCACCAACCCAGAAGTCCTCTGAACCCATGTCTTTTAGGTTTTTTTAATGCAGATTTCATTAGGTAGGCATAGTTGATTAAATCATTGGCCATTGTTGATTAACTCAATCCCCAGGGCTTCTCCTCTCCCCAGAGGTCAGAGGGTGGGGCTGAAAGTTCCAACCCTTGAATCAGGCCTTGGTCCTTCTGGTGATCAGTGCCATTCTGAAGCTATCTAGGGGACCCCAGCCACTAGTCATTTCATCAGCCTACCAAAAGACACTCTTTTCACTGCAGAGATCCCAAGGGTCTTAGAAGCTCTTGTGTGAGGAACCAATAGGATACTGAGACCATATATTAAAATAAAAAATGCTCCTACCACCCTTAATGCTCAGGAAATTACAAGGGTTTTAGGAACTCTGGGCCAAGAAGTGGGACAAGGAGCAAATATATATTTCTTTTTTTTTTAAGATTTTATTTATTTATTTGACAGAGAGAAACACAGCAAGAGAGGGAACACAAGCAGGGGGAGTGGGGGAGGGAGAAGCAGGTTTCCCGCCGAGCGGGGAGCCTGATGCGGGGCTCGATCCCAGGACCCTGGGATCATGACCTGAGCCGAAGGCAGACGCTTAACGACTGATCCACCTGGGCGCCCCGTGAGCAGTTTTTTTAAAATGTAATTTTATATTCTGTGCTTCTGGGATCCAAGGATTCGTGCTTTGCTTTGTTTGCACTGTTTTTTTGTTTGTTTGTTTGTTTTGTTTTTTGAGTAATCTCTCTGCGCAACGTGGGGCTTGAACTCAGAACCCTGAGATCAAGAGTTGCATGTTCTAGGGACTAAGCCAGCCAGGAGCCCCAGTTGTTTCATTTGTTTTTAACTTCTAATCAATTCTAGAAAATATATAGCAATAGACTCTTAAAATGTTGCTTCTCCTTGGGGCGCCTGGGTGGCTCAATCTGTTAAGTGTCCAACTCAGGTCATGATCTCAGGGTCATGGGATCGAGCCCATGTTGGACTCCAAGCTCAGTGGGGAGTCTCCTCCCTCTGCTCCTTTCCCTACTCGTGCTCTCTCTCTCAAATAAGTAAATAAAATCTTAAAAAAAAAAGTTGTCCTGTATTCTCTTTTTCCCCCATTTTTGACTCAGATTAGAAAATTGTTAGATCTTCTCTTTCTAGCCCCCATATCCGTTTTCAAATTTTAAAAATATTTTTCATTTCCTAATATTATATTCTGGGTAATTTCTTTTTTTTTTAAAGATTTATTTATTATTTATTTTGAGAGAGTGAGAATGAGAGAGAGAGAGAGAGTACATGAGAGGGGGGAGGGTCAGAGGGAGAAGCAGACTCCCCGCCAAGCAGGGAGCCCGATGTGGGACTCGATCCCGGGACTCCAGGATCATGACCTGAGCTGAAGGCAGTCGCTTAACCAACTGAGCCACCCAGGCGCCCTCTGGGTAATTTCTTATTGATCTTTCAGTTCACTAATTCTCTCTTTAGCTGGCTGTTTAAATTACCCATTGAGTTGTGTTTTTTTTTTCAACAATTACATAAAATTTCTCCTCAAATCCACTTATTCTTTCTCCATATTTTCTTGCCGATGGGCTGATCTTTGTGATTGTGTTAGTGGCAGGCTGCTTCTAAAATGATTCCCAGTGATCTCTACCTCCTGCTACTCAGTATCTTTTCTCTTTCATGGTGTGTGCACAAGACCTGTGACTTACTCTTGACAATGGAATTTGTTTTTTTTTTTTTTTAAAGATTTTATTTATTTAATTGACAGAGAGAGAGAGAGAGAGAGACAGAGAGAGAGGGAACACAAGCAGGGGGAATGGGAGAGGGAGAAGCAGCCTCCCCGCTGAGCAGGGAGCCCGATGCGGGGCTCGATCCCAGGACCCTGGGATCATGACCTGAGCCGAAGGCAGTCGCTTAACCAACTGAGCCAAATTT